ACTCTCTAGTTTCTCGTACGTTCTCTTTTCTCTCCCTGAGAAATCTCGAGACTAATTTTTCTGGGAAAATTCTTCGTTGTGTGTTTCTTCTTCGCCATTTTCTTTCTCAGGTACCAGTTTCTTCTCACTTTTGGTTGTTTATCATTTCGATTCTTGAATTTGAAGCGAGATTATGTTATCATCGTAGCTATAGATTCTGCGAAAATTCCTTAGAAACGAGAACTAAGAAAATTCTCTCTCATTTTACATTCTGAGATTCCGATGAATGAGGAAAGATTTCGGAATATTGTCATGAATCGTACGGCATTTTACGGGAATTCATCTTAACCTCGTCTTAGATTTTGTCAAAATCGTTGTAGATTGGTGATTTTGCGTGCTAGAATCTGAATTTTTTTTGTCATTTACAGAAACTATTTTTGTGAATCAGGGATTCTTGAAGGTTGGTACAAGGTCTGGTTTTGTTGTTTGTGGAGTGAAGAGATAATGAGCTCTCAAGTAGTAAGGAGAGAGCGGAGAGAAAGGTCAAGATTCACTCCTCAAACTTCTCAGCAAACATGGGTACCAAGAGGAACCTCCTCTACCTCGGTGTTGGTAAACGAGACTGCTTTTACTCCTAATCCAAGCTTAAATCCGGAAAGCCTTGACGCTGGTGCCGGACGCCGTCCTGTTCATCAGCAAAGACAGCACCAAAGAAGTAATGTCTCGGGTCCTCCTCCTTATAGCCGTCAAAGAAGGAATAATGATTCTAGACCTGTTAACCGTCAGAGAGGTGGTTCTAGGGGTCACTTGGGTCAGACTGTGAATGAGGGAACAAGGCCGGATACTGTGTTGACAGACCCAAATCTGCCTCAGCTTGTGCAAGAGATACAGGATAAGCTAACGAAGGGATCTATTGAGTGTATGATTTGTTATGACATGGTTAGGCGGTCTGCTAATATATGGTCTTGCTCCAGCTGTTACTCCATTTTCCACCTCAATTGTATTAAGAAATGGGCTCGAGCACCGATTTCGATTGATTTGATGGCGGATAAAACTGAAGGTAATAATTGGAGATGTCCAGGTTGTCAATTTGTTCAGTTGACATCTTCGAAAGAGATTGTGTATCGATGCTTTTGCGGAAAGAGGAAAGACCCACCAACTGATCCATATATGACTCCTCACTCTTGTGTAGATCCATGTGGGAAGCCCCTGGAGAAAGAGTTTGTACCAGATGAGATGGCGAAAGAAGATTGTTGTCCTCATGTTTGTGTTTTGCAGTGTCATCCCGGTCCATGTCCTCCATGCAAGGCGTTTGCTCCACCTCGTAGCTGTCCTTGTGGAAAGAAGATGATCAGAACTAGATGCTCGGAACGAAAATCTAATCTGACTTGTGGGCAGAGTTGCGATAAGCTTCTCAACTGTGGCCGTCATCGATGTGAAAGGGCATGTCATGTTGGTCTCTGTGATCCTTGTCAGGTACCAGTCAACGCCTCCTGCTTTTGCAAGAAAACAGTGGAGAATGTCATTTGCGGTGATATGAATGTGAAGGGAGAGGTGAAAGCAGAAGATGGTGTGTTTTCATGCAATTTGAACTGTGAGAAGCAGCTTGAGTGTAGTAATCATTACTGCCGTGAGATTTGCCATCCTGGGCCTTGTGGGGACTGTGAGTTCCTGCCTAGTAGCATTAAAACATGCTTCTGTGGGAAGACGGGTTTGGAAGAGGAGAGACAAAGTTGCCTTGATCCGATTCCTTCCTGCTCAAACATTTGCAGCAAGCTTCTTCCTTGTGGGCTGCATAACTGCAAGGAGACATGTCATTCAGGTGATTGTTTGCCTTGTTTAGTCCAGGTCAGCCAGAAATGCCGGTGCAGGTCAACATCTCGGACTGTGGAATGCTACAAAACAGTTTCAGGGACAGAGAAGTTCATTTGTGCCAAACAATGTGGCCGTAAGAAAAATTGTGGGAGGCATAGGTGTAGTGAGCGTTGCTGCCCTCTCTTGAATCACCCAAAGAATGATGATATGTCTGGTGATTCTGATCTGCACCTCTGCCAAATACCTTGTGGAAAGAGACTAAGGTGCGGACAGCATTCCTGTGAAACTCTTTGTCACAGTGGTCACTGTCCTTCTTGTCTCGAGATGATTTTCACTGATCTTGCATGTGCCTGTGGAAAGACTTCAATTCCTCCTCCGTTACCATGTGGCACACCTGTCCCGAGCTGTCAACTTCCTTGCTCAGTTCCTCAGCCTTGTGGCCATTCTGCTACTCATGGTTGCCATTTCGGAGATTGCTTGCCTTGTTCAGCGCCTGTAGAGAAGAAATGCGTTGGCGGTCATGTGATTCTCAGGAATATACCTTGTGGATTGAAAGACATTAGATGTGACAAAATTTGTGGAAAGACACGGCGTTGTGGCATGCATGCTTGTGCCAGGACTTGTCACCCTGAACCTTGTGACAACAGTGGTAACACATCCGAAACTGGTTTGCGTGTTACTTGTGGACAGAAGTGTGGTGCTCCTAGAAGAGACTGCAGACACGCTTGTGCAGCTCTGTGCCATCCTTCTGCGCCTTGTCCTGATCAGAGATGTAAATTTCCACTCACAATTACTTGCTCGTGTGGTCGCATAACAACTACTGTCCCTTGTGACGCTGGAGGAGGAAGTGCTGGTGGTTTTAACGGTGACTCCATTTATGAAACCTCCATTTTGCAGAAGCTTCCGGTGCCCCTCCAACCTGTTGAGTCAAATGGAAATAGGATCCCTCTTGGGCAGAGAAAGCTTACATGTGATGAAGAGTGTGCTAAGCTGGAGCGTAAACGGGTTCTTCAAGATGCATTTGATATTACTCCTCCAAATCTAGACGCTTTACATTTTGGTGACAATTCCGCCATGACTGAGATCATTTCAGATCTTTATAGACGTGACCCAAAGTGGGTTCTAGCGGTTGAAGAGCGGTGCAAGTTCTTGGTACTCGGAAAGGCCAAAAGTAGCACAAGTAGTGCGATAAAGCTTCATATCTTCTGTCATATGGAAAAGGATAAAAGAGATGTGGTTCGGTTGATAGCTGAGAGGTGGAAACTCGCTGTTAGCAATGCCGGATGGGAACCAAAACGCTTTACAGTGGTTTACGTTACACAGAAGTCGAAACCCCCGACAAGGATCATCGGAGTCAAAGGTGTTAAATCAGCAGGCGGGCCCCACGCATCGGCCTTTGATCCACTGGTGGATATGGATCCTAGACTCGTGGTTTGTTTTATGGATCTCCCGAGGGAAGCTAACATCAACGCTTTGGTTCTAAGATTTGGAGGCGAATGCGAGCTTGTTTGGTTAAATGACAAGAATGCACTAGCCGTTTTCCACGATCCTGCTCGAGCTGCCACTGCCATGAGAAGGCTTGATCACGGTTCTGTGTACCAAGGAGCAGTCGTCGTGGTACAGAACCCAGGACAATCTCCGTCCCTCAGTAGCGCATGGGGAGTACCCGGTGGCTCGGTTAGGGAATTTCAAAGAGGAAATCCGTGGAATAAGGCTGTGGTTAAGGAATCTGATGACTCTTGGGGAACTGAAGATTCACCCATTGGAGGATCTGTGTGGAAACCAACAAAGGAAAACACTTTGATCACTCCTTTAGTCAACCGTTGGACCGTTCTTGAGCCGAAGAAAGCTGTTCCGTTGGAGCCGCTAGCTCAGGCTCAGACCGATGGGACAAGTAGTTCGAAAGCTGCTGGTAAGCAACCTGAACAGACCGAAGTGGTCGATGATTGGGAGAAAGTATGTGATTGAGAGAAGAAGGTTAGAAAAAACACCAATGAAGCTTCTCTCTGTGAAGTCTTTACTTCTTTTTTTGGCTTTGGGATCTCAAAACAGAGAGGATCAGAGATTGAGATTAGTAGTAGTACCTTAAGGTGGTTCTGCTTACGGGTCAATTCTTGGCCCAATGGGCTTTTTGCTATTCATTCTGATTAAGAGCTTCAAGTTGCGGATATATGCTTTGCCTTTTTATTACTTACTTTGTCCCTCCAATTGAAGAAAAGAAGAGAATCTTCACAAAAAAAAGTAAACAAAATTGTCTTCTTCGTCTACATAAACCTCATTTAGGAGATTGTGGTCTCTCTAATGAAAACCAAACAAAAATTAAGAAGAAAATGTCTTCACAAAAGACTAAGAAGAGTTCTCACCATGAGGCAGATTCCAAAATGGAACATGATGTGAGTTGTTTTTTTTGTTAAATTTGAATTAATATTTTATCTTGCTTGTGATTTTTTTTTTTGGGGTTAAATTGTTGTGCAGACCAATAGAAAAGCATGGATTTTTCAACCCAATGGTCTTAACTTTGTTTGGGGAGGTGACTCAAGATATTGGGTTATACCAAATGAACCAAGGTACATTCCAGTTTCATTCTGACTAAACCAATAAACCAACTTTGGGTTACTAATACCAAAATTCTCAACTGGTTTACTGGACTGTTTGTTGGTTTTAGGAAGCCTGCGGAGTTGAAGAGGGTGAGTTGGTTAGAAGTAACCCGTTCGTTCGAGAAGCTAGAACCCGAAAAAACATACATAATCGGTTTTAAAATCTCGTTTACACCGAACGCAACCGGTTGGGACGAATCCCCGGTTTTTATGTCTGCTAAAATTGGAAAGAAAGGCAAGACGGTTTGGAAACGGATCAAATCCATTAACCAGAACTTCCGTAAACAGAAAGGCGGATCAGAACCGGTCAACATACCTGATGAGACCGATGGCCAGTTTGAAATCGCAGTTAGTCCCACATCCGTTAACCAAGATACCAAGCTTCAGTTTGGTCTGTATGRGGTGTGGACCGGACGATGGAAGACTGGGTTGTTGATCCATGAAGCCTTCGTTCAAGAAGTGTAATTGAGAATATGATCATTGTCGATTTTCATAGTCCGAAACACGAATCTTATACCTCAAATTCAGTCTATTTATTTCTAAATAAACGAGCTTTAGATCCTAATAACATAATTGAAAGAGAGAAGCCATAAAGAAAAATGATACCTTTCTTGAATAAGTCTTAAAGTTCTGTGTGATAATCTTCCGGTTTAAACCACAGTGAGAAATCGATTCCTTTCGTCTTCAAGTTCTCAGTTGCAGGAGCGATTCTCTCCAGAAGCTACAACGGTCAAACCAGGAAAAAAATGTCAGACCGAATATCTAAGCATAACAGATTAAAAGCACTAACAAAAGCATTAATAGTTCATAAACCTTGGAATGAAGAACGCCATTGGACACCAACACAGATCTATCAAACACGGAAAACTTCCCTCCATCCATTCGGGTCACGGCTCCTCCAGCTTCCTCGACTATCTGAAACCAAATTCAAACACGGATTAAGCTCTACATCATATCTAGTTTCGTAAAAAGAAAAACAAGAACGATGAGGAGGATTACAAGAACACCAGCAGCCATGTCCCATGGCTTTAAACGGTACTCCCAATATGATTCCGCAATCCCGAGTGCCACGTGACACATGTCAACTGCTGCAGCACCGAGCCTTCGCACTCCCCGACTCACATCAGTGAACTCTTTGAACAATTCCATATTCGTACTCCACGCATCATCATGTTCATACCCAAACCCTGTTATAAGAAGGGCTCTCTCAACCTACAGTCAAAGCCGAATAGATGTGCTATAATACCAAACCTTTCCGCGCACCAGACCAAAACTAAACTGGATTCCAGATATGTTACTTACAGCATCGGTACTACTGACATGAATTTTTTGTCCGTTACACAACGCTCCACCACCTAAGAAGTACACTAGTCAGACAAATCTTGAATACAGAACAGAACTAGACGAACATAAGCTTGTCACATTCTACCTGCAGTAGCAGAAAAGGTTCGAGTGTTCCAGCACATTGGACCACCGACAAACTCTACCTACACAACAAAATTTTTGTTTCAACTCATCCTACTGATCAAAGAGGAACTGTATTAAGTAATAGTTAGTTTGTGCAAGTATATATTGCATCTACCACAGAAGCAGCAGCGGGATTTCCGCGATACAAAACACCAACAGAAACAGCAAAACTTGGATATCCATGAGCAAAATTTGTTGTTCCATCTATTGCATAAAAAAGGAATTGATTATCATTCAAACCTCAGAGATTATAACATGAAGAGAAAGCAATGAGATTTGTTAAAAAAACCTAGAGGATCAATGCACCAGAGGTAATCAGAAGACGTATCGCCGATAATACCTCCTTCTTCACCAAGAATAAGATGATCACTGAAATTCTTTTTCACTACCTCCAAAATCGCAGCCTCACTTGCTTTATCAGTCCTTAAAAATTCAACATAAAACCTCAATATAGTCAAGATAAGCATTTTCGCCAAGATGAACTATGAAAGCTGAAGTTTGATATGTTAAGAGTCCTTACTCAGTAACTAAGTCAGTGAGACCCTTATAAGTGATATTCCTTGGCTTATTAACAGCTTCCATTACAACCTACCAAACAAATCACAAAGACCTTAAATTTATCAATTTTTCAAGAACAAAAACCAGATTCACAGTTTCGAGTCTCATCAAAGATTTGTTCTTTTATAGTAAAGATATGAAATTCGACAACCTCGGCACCGGTTTTAGCGGTGGTTTCGACGACTTGGAGGAGTTGTGACGGCGATATAGTTCCGGTGGTTTTAGCGCCGATTCTTGGATAATGCGTTTGATGAGAAACTTGAGACGCAAGAGCTTTTGTTCGGAGTCTCGTCATCGATTTGAAGCTGTTAGAAGAAAACCCATGTCGGAAATTTCTAGTTACTGTCTGGTATGAAAATGAGTTTCTCAGTGGGAGA